AAAGTGGGGCAAAAGTCCATAACAAAACATTAGAAATACAATTTAGCAATCTATACACCATCACAAAGTGTGTTTTATTCTAGGGATACCAGGTTATTTGAATGTTCTAAAATGGGGCACCTGGGTGGCTCCGTGGGTTAAAGCCTCTGCCTTTGGCTCAGGTCATGATCCCAGGGTCCTGGGATCAAGCCCTGCATCGGGCTCTCTGCTCAGCAGGGAGCCTGCTTCTCTCTCTCTCTCTCTCTCTCTGCGCCTGCCTCTCTGCCTACTTGTAATCTCTCTCTCTGTGTCAAATGAATAAATAAAATCTTTAAAAAATAAAAAATAAATGTTCTAAAATACTGAAATCCACTATATTAACAGGCCAAAGAAGAAAAATAACATGACCTTATAAATCAATGCAGAAAGAGCATTTGACAAAACTCAACACTCATTCAGGATAAAAACTCTTAGAAAACTAGGAGCAAAGGTCAACTTACTGAACTTGATAACATAGCCACAAAAAAACCTTACAGCTGAGATCATAGCTTATAGTGAAAGACTGAATGTTTTCCTCCTAAGATCAGGAACAACAACAACAAAAAAGACATAAATATCTCTTCTTACCATAACAGTGGTATACCGGAAGTTCTAGCCAGCACAATAAAGCAAGAAAAGAAAACAAATGACATGCAAATTGGAAAGAAAATAATAAAATTGTCCCTATTTGCAGATGGGATGAATATAGAAAATTGCATCAACAATACTCTTTTAGGACCAATAGATTATCTGTATTACTCTATTTTTATATTCTAGTAATGAACATTTTGAAACTAAAATTAAAATACCATTTAATCACCAAACAATCCCCCAAGAAACAAAAAAATACCATGACTTAGGTGAAAATATAACAAAATATGTATAGGACCTTCATGCCACAAACTACAAAATGCGTTTTAAAGAAAGGGGGAAAAAACCCTAAATAAATAGAGAGACATACTGTGTTCATGGATTGGAACAATTGACACAATAAAGACGTCAATTCTCTGCAAATTGATACACAGTTTTACTGCAACATTCTCTTGTATTATTTCAGATGGGTTAAAGAACATGAAGGCAACTTCCTGCCTTATTTCCATGAACCTAAATTTTAGCATCTAATGCTACACGTGCTTATGAAGAAGAGGACAAAGTACTCTGTAACCCAATCTGTAAATTTTTCCAAAAGCAAAAGAATTGGGAGATAATGAGAGTCTTCTCAATAGAGTCCTTCAAGCTGAGACAGGAAACCACTTGGTGAGGGGATTGTGGCTGTGTTTAGACTGGTCTTGCCAATGTTTCTGGGATCCCTGAGTCAATAAACTAAAAATCATCACCATTATCATGATAGCCTCTACTCACTGTGGCACATAAATGTGCTAATCATGAACCCCATAAGACTAAGAAAGTTTACATCAACTGTCCAGATTCACAGATTATAAATAGTATCAGTAGCACTCAGACTCAGGTTTCATTGAATTCAAAGCCGCTGACCAGTGAAAATTATTAGAAGTACCTTAGCATTTATTTTTATCTAATATATTTTTCCTTTTCATTTCTATCATATATTGTATAATTCATTAACATTAACCAATAGTGTGTGTATATACACATATACATCACTAATTAATAATTAGATAGGGAAAGGGAACTTTTTAAAGTTTTCCTTCACCGACACATATAAAATCTGGGAAGTCACTATAAATTACACTCTCCTGCCTTCCCCATACTAGATTCTATGTTTTTTATATAACTCAGCTATGTATATGACCCATCAACACCCCGGTGATGAATAATAATTCTGATGGGCAAGTGTCTTTAAGTAAGAAAACTAGAAGTATTGATTAAATGGCTTTACATTTCTTTTTTCAAAATGTGTCTGTTCACATGTAATGGAACAATTCCCTGCAACCCACATTTGAGGCCCGTCCATATTGTCTTTTCCTACCTGAATCCTTTTCTCTAATATTTGGTATGATTGACAGTGGGGGTAGGGCCCATACTCAAAACAACATACTGCTTTGGCATCTCTCCTATGAATTCCTGAGGCAATGAAAGTCAGAAAAACATTGTCAGGCTAGGGTCATAATAAAAGGCCCTATTGAATGCTGTTCTCCTGAGCCTGTAAATTCAGTGAAGTTTATTGTTCTGATCTTGAGTCCACAGATTATGCTGTGTGATTTAAGGCACTAAAGAAGCAGTCAGTTTGAGCAGCAGTAAAATTTCTGCAGAATAAACAAACTCATAAACTGGCACTCTACGACCTTCTCACACTGCACTATTTTCCCTGGGTTGTTTCACTCCAGCGTTATAGTGTTAAAATGATGCAAAGTATAGACTTTAATGTCTAGGACTTAAAAAGACAGGATTCACATTTAGACAATGCATATCAAATACCTCCTGATCTGAAATTTTCCCTAAAAATGTTTTAATGATTTAGCACTTTCTCTGATAACAAACATAATTGTCCTGTCATTTATTCTGTGGTTTGGGCAGATCTATATAGTCTGTGAGAAAATGCATTCCATGCAAGATGACTCCTAGTGGCCTGCATTTTTCTTGGCCATTGTTGCAATTAGTTGAAAATGATGAGAAATTTCCTGACTGAAGGTAAGAAAGTCTGGGATAGATGAGGCACAATAATTTGTAATTTGTGTGTGTCTACCTTAGCAGCTCTTCCTAACACTTCCTTCCTTTTAAGTGGCTACCATGGCTCTTTATAACTCAGGATTTCTGTAAGTCTTTCTAGGCTTTTATAAAAGCCAAAACTATTTGGAACAAGTAGTAGGTGTCCCAGGAAGGGTTAGGATTAAAAGAAAGTGACTTGAGAGGAATGAGGAAGAGAAGAGTCTTCCTGCCCAGCTTGGAAGGAACATGAGGAACAAAGAAGTGTGCCAGCATCTTGATCGTGCACCAAGTGTCTGGTGGTTGGCTTGAAGAAGATCAAACTTATTATGCTTAGAGTCCAAGCATTCACAGCCCAGCCCAAGAGTATGGTCCCCAAATGTATTGAAGGAGAACCAGAGTTACTGGACCTGAAGAGACCCTACGAGCGTAGGGATGATGGATATACTGCTGACGCCCAATGAGGAGAGAAGGCATACCCAATGCCTTTAAACTATATAAGATATTGTGCCTTGAGCATGGTAAGGTTGGGAGCTGAAACTTATTGGAATCGATTTCTCTGAATCATTATGTTTGGTTGCATGCCAGAATTTCCAACTTGTTATTTGCATCAACTATAAGACATTAATTCTTATGCCTATAAGATCTGCAACAAGAGCTATCTACCTAGAGACATTCACTTCTATGATATTAATTTCCAAATATTTTGTGAAATGTCTTTTCTGTTACACCTTAGGTTATCACTTACGATATGGTTTATTGTCAGTTTGAACAGATTCTGTGGTGTCCTTTTGATGTTGTTTGCATTATGTACTTGTGTATATTGCCTGATTTTAATATTATGTATATCTGCCTCTTAAGGGGGAGTATTATGGTTTAAGCTATACTGTTTATTTCACTTTCCAATGCTCAAAATAAGAGACATAGGGAGCAGCATGAGGCAGCAGCTCACATTAACATATATTAACTGAAACTGAAAAGAGTGAAAAAATTAAGACCAAATGCCAGGTCTGCTTTTCTTTGATTACCCAGTGCATATGTGTTATAGTGGGTGTATTGTTTCATCAAAACTGAGACACCGTTGATTGTACAATCATTATTTTGTGTTTTAATAGGGAAGAAAACATGCTACCAATTGAAGGACACAATACTTTCTTATCACTTAGAATGTTTATTTTCTACTTATTGAAAGAATTAAGTGTATGCTTTTATTGTGTATCTCTCTTGGACATGCATGGGAAAGAAAGTAAAAGTGAAATGAATCAATTAAAGTGTTGCTGAAGCTTCTTTCCCTCTGGAGTCTGATTTTCCTGAATTGCCTTCCAATTTAAGGTCATCAAGCCCCATATTATCCAAATATGGATTAAGTCATCAAGAGCATTAATGAGGCAACAATTGTTTAGAGAGCACACCACTCTTTAGAGTTCTCTCCCAAGATGTTGCTGTCCATTCTGTGAGTTTTGATGCTGACACTTTTCATGTTTGTACATGCTGAAGAAATGAAATTGTAATGACACCCTCCCTACAACAATCTTTTTTTTAAGGTTTTTACAAAGATTTTTAAGATTAAAGATCTTTAAGATTTTTATTTATTTATTTGAAAGAGAGTGAGAGAGAAAGAGAGAAAGGGAGAGAGAACAGGAGTTGCAGGAGGCATGGGAGGAGCAGAGGGAGAAGCAGACTCCCCACTGAGCACAGAGCCCGATGTGGGGCTTGATCCCAGGACTCCAGGATCATTATCCCAGCTAAGGCAGTCACCTAACCAACTAAGCCAGCCAGGTGCCCCTACCTACAACAATATTAAGGTGCCATAAATTATAACAGACACTCCATCTTCAATATATTAAATTATTAAAAAGAATATGTGCCTTAGCAATGAAACATGGAAATAATAGTCTGTATAATTTCTTATAAAATAGATTCATAATACAGGAAAATTATTTTACAGGATTAAAAGGGAAGACCTTTTACATAGCTATCTTCTTACATTGTTATTTTCAAAACAAAAATACTAAGATTCTTCTTTAAAGCTTTCAGAAAGGTATAGCCCACCAACTATGCTGAGATGATTTACTGCTATGATCGTTTGGTCAACAAGATTCCTGTTCACATTGCGAGATCACTATTTAACATTCTCCCATGTCCTTCTGTTGAACAAAACATCCCAACAGATAATTCGAAAATAGAAGACATTGAACAAAATTAATTAGTCTGAAAAATTAATTCTGAATATTGAATATTTTTCTTAAGTAATATTACTTTTTTCAATATACAGAATGGCAAGATTTGGAAATACCATAGCATTTTGAATGCTCTGCAATCTGTATAAAATTGCTTCTTCTTAATTTTTGTTCTAGCTGTCTTGGAGTGGAATTCGAACATTCAGATCATGCCCCACAAGGAAAATGTTTCTGGGCACACATCCTCAACCTAGGTATGTTTATTTACGTGTGTTATATGCATATGTTACTATACTAATCTATTATCTGCATTTAAACTATACACAAAAACAATGATATATGGGATGTGATGAGAAGTAAAAACTAATAAAAAAAGTTTTAATATATTCCTGTTGGATCCCCCCAGAGGGTTATCTTGCACACTGATTGTGAGCACCACCTTCCTAAACTGTCAAAATATGATCAATCTGACGAGCGTTCTTTTTTTTTAAATCAGGGAAAATATAACTTACTTTCCCAGTTTGTGGGTTGGTTTGTTTGTTTGTTACTAGTTTCTTAATGCTAGAGAGCTAATTTGTTTCTGCAAGTGAGTCTTTGATTACCAGAATGTAACTTCCTCGTGTAGCAAAAGTTTAGTCTTAGGAAAAGTTCCCTGTGTAGTTAATTCTTATAAATTGAGTCCTGCTCCCCACTGACTTCATAAAATGGAAAATTTGTTTCTCTTGGGGCAGAGGGGAAACACAGCCCTTTAGATGTAATAAAATCACACTAAAGTGTAGAGAAAATCTTTGAAAAGCTCATGTTTAAAAGAAAATCATTACTTTTATGTTCAAATAATGTTACTCAAAATGAGATCAAATCTTGATTGCAAAACAGTAAAGCTTCCACCCTGCTTTTTAAAATTCCTGATACAATACTAAAAGATTGAAAGGAGGAAAAAAATAGTGAAGAAATCACCTACATTAATTAAATGAAAAATTTCCTTCCTATTTCCTTTTTTCCATTTTTCTCTCATAGCCCAGTCCAAACTCTGGCTATTGAATATTTACGCATGAAAATTACAGTAAAAAGGATCAATATTACAAATAATATAATCAGCTTATGTGTATAATGTTGAATATTTTGTCAAGTTACCCATTATATAAGTAAAACCCTTCCTTTTATTTATGAAGGCAGATTCCTTGGAGTGAGGATAGAATGTGTCTCTCAGGATTCCTCATTAAAAGAGCAAAGGAGGTAGAGGTGTATATTTCCTGTGTTTGAATATTCATTTGATTTCTAAGTGTTGGCTATATAGTCAATATAAGTGTATCAATATCTGCTTAAAGCTTCAGGAGAGAATATTATAAATTAAATAATCAGATCAAAGGGACACATTTTTAACTTGAAACATGTGCTGACAGTGTATGAGTGTCTATCTCTGAAAGTACCCACTAATATTGATAATCATCAATTATATTAACTTTTGTCAGTGAGGTGAAAAACAAGTCTTCCCATTTGCTTTTGTAATACTTGTTAGCTATATATTAAACATTTTATATCATATTAATTTTTTGTGCCTAAATTCTTGTATTTTTTGCCCATTTTTGCTTATAAAAGCATTGTATATTTTTCATTTAACCAAGTATCTGTACATCTTATTAGCACTTTATATTATTTTTGTAAGTAAACACGTGTACCTTGATAAAGTTTTTTATTTTTGTGCAATTGTTCTCTTTTCTGGCGATATGCTGGAAAAGCAAACTGGATCCCTTTCAATTATAAATTGGAAAAATGGCAGATTTAAATATAATGCATACTGCACCTCATTAAAAAAAAAGGAAATGAAGTACCATTTTGAGAAACAAAGAAGGACCTGAAAACTAGAGCATTAAGCCAATTGACTGAGGTTATATTGGCATGGTAGGTGATTATCCAACCCTAAATTAGACCCTAAGAAGAGAATCAGACTTGGATTTCCACACAGGAGCAGAAGCTAGGACATGGAACTTGAGGTTAGAAGGAGTTGAGACTAAGATTCCCATGTAAAGGCAGGACAGCTGGAGGATATACTTATAGGGAAAGGAGAAAAGAATTCTTGGCAGGATAGTCCTTTGAGAAACAAAATCCTTTCTGTATTAGAAAGTTAAAAAAAAAATTCCATGAGAAATCAAAGCCCTGAGCCTGTGCTCAATTTATGCAACCCCACCTGGTGCTGTAGGAATTCCCAAACTAGGAGCTTCAGTTGGACTCCAACTGATAATGACCCTAAAGCCTAAGAGAAGTCAATGTTCTAGAAGTCAGAAACACAAGCTGGAAAAGTTGAGCTGCCCAATTTCCAAATCAGCAAAGGAAGAAAAAATAAAGGAAGAAGCCAAGAAAATGTATGTTAAATAAAAAGCATAAAATAAAATAGTGCAAATAAATCATGTGTGTAAGTAATTAACATAAATATCAACCTCTCACAGTCAGTAGTAAAGAGACAGAGGTCCTACGATTAGACTAAGATAACAACAAAATCCAGTGACAGACTACTTTACAACTAAAATATAGTGATCCAGATTTAGGGTCGGGGGGAAGTTGGAATAAAGATCTAAATCTGGGTTCAGCAAGGTAGTAGAATAACATAACTTAAAAATACTTTCACTCTAAACACTTTATATCCTGGGCAAAGTTACATTATTTGGTGCCTCTCAGGGGACAGAAAACAATATACATGAATGTCAGAAAATAGTAAGTAACTTAAAGCCATAAGGACAAAAACCAATGTTCAAAGTTTGGCTGTTCTGGTGGTAGTTTGGGGGAAGTTAATAGTGTGGTCATGCTAGTTTGGGGACCCATGAATATATAATGCCCAGGAGGATGAGAAGATGAAATTTGGCTCTTGAAAACAGGGAGACAGATCTGAGGCCATCTGTGATAAACTGGAAATTTCAAGGGATTGCATGCATGCAAGCATGTCATGTTCAAGGATCAATAAGATGATCAGTGTAGCTGAAAGGGAATGCCCAATGGGAAGGGTGGTAGGAGATGAAGTCTGAGAGGAAGAGGGGGATGGTGACACATGGCTGTTGTGGCTCAGTGGATAGTCTTTGGCTTTTACTCTGTGTAGTGAGGTGGGGATAAATTAATGAGTTTTGAGTTGGAATGCAACTCGGTATAGCTTTTCTAGATAAAGAGAATCATCTATGGAAGGGCAATGGAAGAAGCAGGAAATCCGCTATGAAACTATTGAAATTATAATCTAGGCAGGAGATGGTGTCTTTTTCTTTTTTAAGATTGTATTTATTTATTTGATGGACAGAGAGAGATCACAAGTAGGCAGAGCAGCAGGGAGACTTGAAGGGGAAGCTGGCTCCTTGCTGAGCAGAAAGCCTGATGTGGGGCTCGATCCCAGGACCCTGAGATCATGACCTGAGCCGAAGGTAGAGGCTTAACCCACCGAGTCACCCAGGTGCCCCAGGAGATGGTGTCTTGATAGTCCTGGGGTGGTCAAGATTTACACAATTCTGGATATATTTATGTTTGTAGCTGATCAGATTTGTTTATGACTTGGTTGAGAAAAATATAGGAGTCACGGATTATTCTCAGGGCTTTGACTCTGGCGTCTGAGAGGATGGATTTGTTTCTTTGGAATGAGATCGAGAGCAGGGAAAAAAGCAGGGTGCTGGGGGAAATTCAGATGTTTGGTGTTATGTACTTTAAAGATGAGATGCTAGTTAAGCATCTCAGTGGAAAATACAAGTTGCCACTTGGATATTCAAATGTAGTGTGGGAGAGAGTTTGGGACTGGATATGTAATGGTTCCAAGAACCACTGCAGTTAAGAAACTGGGAAGATAGGAAAAACTATAGCTAGCTTGACTTCCAGAAGCATAGACATAGCGAGCAGTATTCAAAGAGGAAATGGCTAGGAATTTTCCAAAACCTATAAAAGAGGCAAAACCTTAGACTTAGTAAATAAAGGAATTCTTAATAAATCTACTCTTTGGCATATTGCAACAAAGCGGCCAAACACCCAAATCAGAGAGGGTATTGGAAGAACAACCAGAGATAAAACTCCAGTAATGGAGGCTTGACATCAGGAATAGAAGCCAAAGAATGACTTGCACTCCACAGATGTGTGCATTTGTTGAAACTCATTGCTTACACATCTGAGATTTGTGCCTGTCCTTGTACCTTTTTTACAAAACAAAAAGAAGTAAAAATAAATAATGAATTCTAGATAATAATACGCATGCTTCAATAGGGGGAAGTGTACTGATGTATGTAATATAGTTAGAAATGCATCAAAAATAAGATGGGCTCATGGGTGGCTAGAGGGATGGATAGACGTAGATATACGGGTGTTTGTTGCATAATTCTTTCAAATTTGCTGTGCATTGGTAACTTTTTGTAATAAAATTATAAGAAAAAATGGGAAGACACCAGAGACTTTAGCCCTTACACTACCAAGAAAAATTAACTTTCAACATAGAATATGTATCTAAGAATTTTAATCAATTGACCATTCAAGTTTGAGGGTGAAATGAAAATGTTTTAAACAAAGGCTGAGTGTACCGCTGGCAGGACGGCCACGGATACAATCTGGGGAGAAGGAATGAAACAATGAGAGAATAAAATGAAAGAAGTATTGATGAGCAGAAGCGTATTTTAATCACAAGCATGTCTACATTACCTATTAACACACTCATAAATGGTTTCTGTGTACCTGTTTCTCCAGACTCTTGCCAGCATTCAATCTTGTCACAGTTGACATTTGAGATCTTAATAGTTTTACAGGATGTAGTTCAACAATAAAAAGGGTTGAACATTTAAAGCTTTTGATTTTAGGCAATTTTTTGTCCTCTTTCTGTAAACTCTCTCTTTAACCCAGGATTATTTTTCCTACTAACTTAATGAGGTTTAAGTAATTGATTTAGTTGAGATAGTGATTTATTTTACTCATTGACCCTCATGGGTATTGTGGATATATTCTCTTGATTTCTGTTTACCTTTTATTTTAATGTTATTTTTTCAATTTTTATTATTTTCATACATTTAAGTTTCTCAGATTTCTCAGAAAATCCAACTTTTCCATTATGGTTTTAATATGATTCTTAAAAATTCCTAGGCACTCCAAGAATATAAATAAATTCAACTATGTTTAGTTCTAAATTTTTCTTATTTCAACTTTTAGGTCCTAAATTTGATCAGTTAGATATTACTTTGTTGCTCAAGACATGGTAGGGACCCAAGTTAGTTTTCTTCCTCATTGTGATTGCATTTGTTTGAATTGCATAATGGGAATCCATGGAAGTGTGACAACACATGTTTTTCTTGTCACTGATTCATTTGTAGTGTTAGCTATCCAAAGATTTGGAGAATGTTTTCTAAAAATATATACTTTCTTTTTTCTTTCCATCTTTTAAATTTCATGAAGTCATAAAAATAAAGTTGTACTTTTATTCTCACATATTTTCTTTTCTTTTCTAAAGGATTCGTTTATTTATTTGAGAGAGAGAACAGGAGAAGAGGGGAAGAAAGAGGGAGAGGAAGAGAGAAGCAGAGTTCCTGCTGAGTGCAGAGCCAGACCCCGGGCTAGATCTTAGGACTCTAAGATCACGACCTGAGCCGAAATTAAGAGTCCCTCACTTAACTGACTGAGCTACCCAGGTACCCCACATTTTTTGATTCTTAATATTTTCCTTCAAGTATTGCCACAGTTGTTGCTTTTGTACGTTAGTAACAGTAATGGATGAGGCTTCCGAATTTAGATGTTAATCTGAGATATGCTTAATTTCCCCTTTTTCAAAAACTGGCTAATGACAAAGAACTGAATGCTACAGGAGAACCTGTTAAGATCTCTGGAGACTTCTTTCTGTGAAGTTACTCCTCTTTAGAGTCGTCTTGTCCCACCTCCCTGCACAGCCAACTGCATCATCTCCACTCAGGGAGTGCACTGCGCTCTTCCTGGGCACCTCCTCCCACACTGTGACCTGGGGACTTTCTCCGGGCAGTAATTTGGGGTCATCAAAGGTCTCACCTTTTTTGTTTCCCGACTCTCAGGGATCCCTGTTCTACACTGCTTAATGTACAACATAGAGTGTTCATTGTTACACATACTTGTTCTGATTATTTATCAGGAAGGTAAATCCGGTCAGGTGTTAACTGGAATTGGAAGTCTGTGTAATGGTTAAGATACCAGGAAGAATGCATTTTGAAGCATTTGACTAGCAGATCATAAAGATTATTTGGAAATGCAAAGAACCTAGAATAACCTAGAACCTAGAATAGCCAAAACAATGTCAAGACTGGAGGACCAATAGTACCTGATCTGAAAACATATTCTAAAGGCAAACTCAATAACCAAAATGATTTGGTGTTGGTATAAGGATGGACACAGAAAACAATGAAAGTCCAGAAATACATCCTTATATAAATGGTCTTTTGATTTTTAATAAAGGTGGCAAGGGGCACCTGGGTGGCTCAGTGGGTGAAGCCTCTGCCTTCGGCTCAGGTCATGATCTCAGGGTCCTGGGATCGAGCCCCGCATCGGGCTCTCTGCTCAGCGGTGAGTCTGCTTCCCCTTCTCTCTGCCTGCCTCTCTGCCTGCTTGTGATCTCTCTCTCTCTCTCTCTGTCAAATAAATAAATAAAATCTTTAAAAAAAAATAAGGTGGCAAAATAATGAATTGGGGAGGAGATGACATTTTCAACATAATTCTGGGACAACTGGATAGCCACATGCAAAACAAATACATTTAGATTCTTGACTCACATGATGCACAAAAATTAACTTAAAATGAATCACAGATTGAAATATAAGAGACAAAACATGAAAAGGACAAAAAAAGGAGAAAATCTTAATGATCTTGGATTGGATGAAGAGTACTTAGTGTGATATAAAAACACAACCTGTGGGGGTGCCTGGGTGGCTCAGTGGGTTAAAGCCTCTGCCTTCAGCTCAGGTCATGATCCCAGGGTCCTGGGATCGAGCCCCGCGATGGGTTCTCTGCTCAGCAGGGAGCCTGCTTCCCTTCCTCTCTCTCTGACTGCCTCTCTGCCTACTTGTGATCTCTGTCTGTCAAATAAATAAACACAATCTTAAAAAAAAACTCACAACCTGTGAAATAAATTGGTAAATTGGACTTTATCAGAATTAGAAGTATTCTTGCTTTAAAGACACCTTAAGAGATTGAAAAGACAAATCACAGCCTGGGAGAAAACATCTGCAAACCATATAACATCATATCTGATAAATGACTTAGATCCAGAAGACCCTCTGTAACCCACTATGGAGACCAGAAAACTTTTGTGGGTTACCATGTATTATTTGGTTCCAGCATCCACCAAAGCTGTCATTTTTTTTTGCTTATTTCTGGGGTACCAGTGTACAGTGAGTTTCAACATGGGGCCTCTGATGTCCCCAATAACCCTTACCTGGGAGTGATATTGGCCGGCATCCTATCTATACCTGGGGTGTGGGAGACACCTACCCAGAAAAAGACTATTCCTGAGGTCTCTGCAGAAGCAGGCAGGGTACAAGGGATGGTAGGGGAGATCTGAACTGTTGTTCAGGTTTTAAGACTTTTACGTGCCAACCAATATAGCATCAGGGTGTTGGTCTGTCTTTTCAGCTGGATCCCAGCAGCAACAAGGTCAAACCACATTTACTTCCAGGTTACTTTTAACAGACCCTTTATAGACTATCAGGATAGCTTTTTGGCTCTGCAACCTTCCTGTGTCTTGAGTCTTTCCTGCAGCTCATACCTGTTCCTGGGATTGGTCAGTTTCCCCCAGGTCAGCGATGGACTGCCCCAAATCATGTGTTGTCCCATGGATGGGCATAGCAGGGATATCAGCGTCCCTTTCCAGGTGCTGAGGGCAGACTGAAGCATCTCAGCTTTTTTTTCCTACAGAGAATGTGGGCGAATGTGGCCAGATCAGAGCCCTCAAAGACCTGGGCTTAGAAGGTCTGTCTAATTCCCGACTCCCTAAGAGTGTGTTGCATTTCTAGATTTTCAAGGTCTTCCCACAGGATAGAATAATACCATCTATAATGCAGTGAGTATCTTGAATGCGGGAACATCAGTCAGGGGCTGCCAGAAGGTGGGGCGTGTCATGATAATGCTCATTTCCTTTGTCTTCTGCCCAATCTCAGTGACGCCATTGTCCCTCATATCCCACAATCACACCAAACTGGGATACTTTCCTGGCCTTTGCTGGAACTTGGCCTGAATGGGTGTGTGTTCTCTCAGCATGAGCATTTCCTGAACTGGGGGAGGGGCTCTGTCTGGGGGTGTTGTGATGCTTTTGTTTTCCTTTGTGCTCAGGGTCAGA